TATTTTAGGGAAGGGTCCACAGGGTGTTCAGGGTCTCACTATTAGATTGGACCCATAGTGATCTGCCTGTTTACAGCCTCCTATGAGCTGGGATTACAGGTGCACACCACCATGCCCAGTCTCAGGACCATCTCAGTGTGCCCTGGGGGTGGGGCCGGTGGAGGCAGGCCCAGGGATCAAACCCCTAGATTTAATTTAAACCCTCAGCTTTAATCTGCTGAGCTATTTGGCTGACCCTATTGCTTAGTTTTTCTTGTTATGTTTCCTCTTTTGCTAATTTATAACAGCTCTTTACATTTTTAAAATTCTGACACTTTTGCTGTATATTGAATTGTTTACTCTTGGCATTTATTATCAAATTAATCTTAAGGAAATGTATTCATTAGTTATATGTAACATTAAAATGAGAGTTGAAATTTCATTTTAATACTGAGGAACATCCTTGAACAACTAGAAACATAGAAATTTAGAATTGTGATGTTCTGTCTTTCATTCACTGTAAAGTGCTTTTCTCATCTTTCAACCAGAAAAAAATAGTTGTCCCATGAACAAAGGCTCAATATTGAATTAACTAAATCTTGAAAATATGAAATAGCATAAACCAACAAGTAAATTGCCAAATAAGTTTTAGCCTTGTACTATCTTTTATGCTGTTCTTCATTCATAGTATTTGATATCCAAGTATAAATTATGATTTTTATTAATTTAAAAGTAGTAACTTGCTTGCTTAAGTCCACTATAACACTGTTGCCATAATAGGTAAGTAATTAGCTGCATAATGAATATTTGTTTAAGAAGCTTTTAATTTTGAGGACAACAAAAAATTAGGTTAATCATAATAGTTCATGGCACTTTATAAACATGTTAAAAATGTATGAAAGAAATAGAAGTCATAGTTATCAATTTATTAAGATAGTTTCTTAAAATAATGCCATGAACAAAATGCAACCTGAACTGAATTACCTTTGAGGAAAAAATGAGTAAAATGGATAAAATAAATATTTCTTAAAATACATATTCTAATAATAATGTTAGCTAATATAGTTTTGAAATTTAGTGCTATTTTTATTCTTTTTAAAATTAATTTGGGGAGCTGTGGAAAATGATTTTTTAATATACTAGTTTATTTTAAAGGTAATTTTAATTTTTCTGGCAGTAATATAAAAATATCAGACAAAATAAAAGTAACTTCAGTTGATAAGTTTGACTTAGTGTGCTTAGAAAAACATTATTGAAAAAGTTAAAAGTCACCTCGAGCAGGAATTGAAAAACAACACTTTATACTTTCTAAAACTTTATAGCTTTATGGAGTGTGAAAAGCCATGGATAATACCAAGTCTTCAGTTTGAAGAAGTGTATCCCCCTCCAAAAATGAAATTTTCTCTCAATTTACTTTGCCACAGATTCTCATATTAAAACCTTTTTAATATATGGTATTCATTTTATGTACTTGTGTAAGTAACTTTTCAGACTTTAAAGTTGTTTCCCCTTTTTTTTCTGCCACACTGAGTGAAGACAAGGAATACTATGGTGAGTCTTCTCTGAATACTCATGAATGGGCATGGCTATAATTTTGTGTGTGCTTTCCCCTACTTACAAAAAGATAACATTTGATTTCTTTATACATACAAAATTAAAGGAGTGTTTTAATTAGCATCTCTAATCTTATTTAATAATACAAATACTTGAAAAAGACTTGAGAGTTGGTTCTGTTGAGTAAGTATACAGAGCAATGGTAATATTTCTGGAGACTGTATTAAACAGGTGAGTTAATTTAAAGTATATTGGCTAAATAATGTGATTGTATCTAGCCTTCCAAAGCTAATGCACTTGACAAAGAGAATTAAGTATAATAATTAAGTATAGTAATGACTAAGAATACATATAAATAAATTGCATGTTAAATAATATATATTAGATACATTTAAATATAGTAGTGACTAAGAATACACATTTATGATATACTCATATGTGTTTCAACATCTTAGAATGCAGAATTCTTTTTTTTTAAGCATAACTTTTTGTGGGGATAAATTGCTTACTTCTGAAAAGCCTTTATAATTCTACGCTATTTTGTAAGAATAAATACCCTTTTCTTCTGTAGTGACTCAGTTCAGTCTCATTTAATGTAAATATCCTTTGAAGTACTGTATAATTAATACATATGTTGCCTCAATTATGTAACACTTTTTAAGCAGTGAAAATTGTTATTGAATTTTAAAATTACTACAATGGCTCTTATAAACACTTTTCTATAACATAAAATATTGAAAACTGAAAGGTTCATTTAATTCCTAGTGAAGTTTTCTAGGCTGAAATTCTATTACTCTTTTATTTTGAAAACAGTCATCGTTATTCTTGAGTTGTTTTCAAAATGTGACTACAACATGTAGTAAAAATTGTAAGATACTGACACTGTAAGTATATTTGTAAAATTGATGCATTTATGTACATATCATCTGTATATTTTTCATTTTTAAAATTTTAACTTGCACTGACTGTTTAAAATATTTTAAGTTGCACCTATAAATTTGTTTTATAAGTAAACTAAAGTTTTTTTTCAAAAAGAAATCTACTTAAATGTGAAATGATAGCATGTCTTGCATTCTTGAGCAATAGAGGAAAGATTCAAATGATGTGAGTGACATTCTACTATATTCCTAGTGTTTGATGCTCTCTGTAGATTGTTGGAAGTTGTCTTTAGTTTTTTATAATAAGGTTGGAACTTTTCAGAAATGAAACAAACTCTTAAGATTGTATAAAAAGATTCTTCTTAGCCTTCTAGCTGAAACCAAGTGAAGGTTGTATAACATTTCCTTATAAAATCATTTTATTTTAAGTTATAAAGGCAATATGTGCAATTTTTAAAATTTCAAACATGTAACATAAAAACTGATAATGCTGCCTACGTTCTTTGATCCCTTAGGTATAATGTTAAGAAACACAGTATCCCTCTGTAGAATTTATTTCATTTTTTTTTTAAACGTATTTGGTACAGGGTTACACCTATAAATTTGTTTTATAAGTAAACTAAATTTTTTTTTCTCACAACACAGCTCAGACTCGTACTGATCCTTCTGTGCTCATCCTCCCCAGCTCTGGGTTTACAGGTGTGCACCGCCACGCCCAGTCTTGGTGGACAGCTCAGCACGCCCAGGGTGGAGCTGGCACTGCATGTGTATTTCATTTTAAAAAGGATATTTTTTAAAAATAAAGTGTATGTTTTTAAAAAATACATATAGATAGTCTTCATTGTTTTTAAGTTTTATGCAGATAACTGTATCAGGTTTATTATTTTAATAATGAATTTTTAGTTGTATATGTTTGGAAAAATTAATTTCAAAAATATCTCTTGTTTATGACTTATGGTAGGTAATAACTAATGTTACTTAATATTTTTATGCAGAGAAATATATTCAGATCTTAAAGATAATCTGACAACATTCCAAAAATACCTGATTGAGAGTAACAAAGAAATGATGCCTTTGAAAGTCTGGGAGTTACAAGGTATACTATTTCAAACTGTCTTAACATAGCATTTTGAAAGCTGTTCTCTGCTTTATCAAATAAGTTTATAAAATATATTGTAAATTTATAGACAATAATTTAAAATGATGTGGACAATATAAATTTTGTTATTTTGTAGGAATGCATATTTAAAAGATTACATCATGTATTTGTCAGACTAAAATTATAGTTATTTGATATTTTATCATCTAAAGTGTATATTACTGCTTCATCTTAGAGATTAGTCTCAAATATTACATCACACTTCAGAAAATGTATAATGTGACTTAAAATTCTAATTAAAATAAATCAGAAGTAAATCTTAGTTTTCTTTTTTTAAATTTTGATGTGGTTAGAATATTACATGTGCCTTACCTTCTTGTTGCTGAGACACCTGCAATTTAAAGGAGAGGAGGTGTGTTTTGACTTACAGTTTGTAAGGTTTCAGTCTCTGGATGGCTGTCTTCAGGTTAGGATGGCATGGCAGAGGGCCATGAATTAAGGAAGACAACTTCAGGCCACCTCCCCTGGGAGCTCCTTCCTTCTACCAAGCTCCACCTCTCAATATCACAGTCAGCGTCAAACATAAGTAGACTAATATACTGATGATTTTTATGTCCCCATCATCCACTCACCTCCAAAAAGTCCTGTTTATGAACACATGATGCTTTAGGAGGACATTTAGGTATAAACATTTCACTGACAAATTCTGATGAAAACATTAGTGAGAGAACATGCCATTATAGATGTAGAGTAGCTTCTTTGTGACCAAAATGTAGTTTAGAGTGGTATGTTATGTCCTCTTCTATTCATAATTTTCCTTCTTTATTATTTGAAATTATTTTTGGTCAGTAGCAGTCACATGGGATTTTTCTGCATAATCCATTGCTTTTATCACATCTTCTATCAACCTTTTTTGATATAACAGACTTATTGAGATAATGTTCACTCAGTGTAATTCACCCAACCTGTAGGGTTCCATGCTTTTTGGTAAATTTTAAGAGTTCTGCAACTATAAGCATAGTCAGTTTTAGAAAATTTTCATCACTGCAAAAAGAACTCAGTGGTAATCACTGTGCACTTCTCCCCAACTACCTCCACCTGTAGAGAATTCCTCATCAATTTTCTGTTTTTAAAATAAAATTGTAACAGATGCTGTATGATAATTATATATCAAAAATAAGGCTTTCTTTAGTTGAACAAAAGTGATAGCTTCTCATTTAAATTTTTTAAGATTGTTAAATTTGAAAGTGTTGACATATTTATGTATTGAATATGTGGGGAAAAGGATTTAAGTAAAATATCTAAATTGCGTGGAAATATAAAGCTGTAACATGCTAAATTTCTTGGTACTTTTTCCTTCCAGATCTTAGTTTTCAAGCAGCTTCTCAAATAAAGTCCACTCCAGTTTATGATGCCATAAAATTAATGAAAGACATTTCACAGAACTTCCCTGTAAAAGCCAGGTATTTTAACATTTGATTTAATTGTAGACAGAATTTTCTCATTATAATAAATTTCATGATAGTAGCTGACTTCATTCAATATGATATTGCTAATTCAATACCTTTTTGAAATTCGAACCTTATGTAGTTATGTACTTTTTTAATTAGAGCAAAGTACTGGCTTATATTCATAGAGCTACTCATACAAAAAAACACAACTATTGAACTAGAGGCTAATGGAATAGAAAAAGTATTTTTATTTAAAAAAGAAAAACAGAAATGATACAAAATTTCAAGATGATAGGAGATTAACAGTGGTTATTACATTACATATTGCTATCTTTAATGTAGTTGCTCAGATTGTAAGATACAGACATGCAGAATAGATAAACAATATAAGCACTAATTGTAAATATATTTTATAAAATTTTTTTAGTTCAGATACCATTATTAAATAGCAAGGTAGTGTTTTTATCTTTCCTTTATGGAATATAATAAAAAGAATTTTAAATAGAATATTTGTACTGCCAAATCATAGATTTTGTCCTTTATATTTTGGTTTTTTTCATAATTTTATTGAGAAACAAATAGCAATGAGAGTGTTTCAAATCAAATTTGTAGGAGAGTATCAATAATTAACACATTGCATACATTCTACCTAGTGGTTAATTGCTGTACAAGATGCGGACATGATATACTATTTACAAACACCATTAGAACAAATCCATCTATTCATTAAGAGAATGCAACTATATATCTATCCTAACCATTTTGAATACA